AGTGAAAGGTTACCTATTCTACTACGAAGGTAGTGCCTTGTCTCCGGAAAAATGTGTTGCACACCATGGTTTCAACGGTGCATACTTTGGAGCATAGGATTTTGGGCATTGTCTTGAATCGGGATCCTGGTGGTTCTGTGGGGTCTCGGGGACTCTCTTGCTGCTCTCCTACCCGCCAGAAACAGACTCTATCTATGCAGAACATGGCCTTAGGAACGAGTCCCAAGACTCTATTTATGCAGAGGATCTCCTGTCTCAAGTCAGGCGTATGTTTTTTAGGGTTTAGGTTTAGGGTTTAGGGAATCATGCCCTGAGCGACTGGTAACGCGACGTGCCTCACGGGATTCAGGCTTTTGGTTCTTTGGGGTACCATGTCGATGGCTAGGACTACAAGACGATGAAGCACGGCAGCCACGTCCAGGTACCGAAACTGCAGGTCTCGCTGAAGCAATCCCGATCTTGGGTATCGCTGCCAGCGACAACGCAAAGAACCCGAAACCCTCAACCCTACGTCGCGCTAGAAAGCACTCCGACTGCCCTGAAAAATCTAAACTCTGAAGCTCGAGTCCAAACGACCAAAGCCGAGTCCCAACACCCCCGAGCAAGCAAAGCTGCTGTGTTGGCTGCCAGGAATTTGTTTTGGTCATCCAATCTCCCTGGAGGTGGGGTTGGGCGCCGGTCGAAGCTTCGAAAGGTTGGGCGTGACATTCCCTACATCACCGTTCTCCTTCTCATATTGGGTATCTCCTACCATTCTGGGTGTCTTCGACCACTAATATATTTTGGGGTTGAGATTCCCTGAACGATCCTTGGGTACCCCTCTCAAAAAGCCCATTTGGCTTCCCATGAGGGCGTGTTGTCAGGTTGCTTGGCGGTCGGGTTTTGACTGTTCAGAGTCTACGCCGGGATCCCTAGAACTGTAGTAAGATATACGTGGCCACAAAGGCCCTATTCCCTTTGTTAAGGCCCCTGCATTTTTCGACCTATGTACTTTGGATTTGTGGTGCAAAATTAGGTCAGGGCTCTGGTTGTCCGCGGGTCAGGGCTCTTGTTGTCAGAGACTTGGGGTTTCTCATAAAAAGACCTAAATCATGAGAAGAGGGCTTCGAGGTACCTTCTTATTCTTCACACTGAAACACCTTGCAAATGCTGACAATACAAACCCCCTACTATAACAGCCATAATAGCTTCAACTCTCAACTCTTGGGGCCTTGAGCCCGAGACCCACAAGCAATTGACTCTCTCTCTCGCTCTCTGTCTCTCCCTCCCTGTCCGTTTATCTACCTGTAGCTATCCATCTGTATATCCAGTACACCTGAACCCTGCGTCCTACTCCGCAAACCCTCAACCCTAAAATCCAAAATTCGTTCATCCAAAGGTCGAAGCATCACCGACGGCAGCTCATGTGTGTCCTTGGGAGGAGTGTAAAGCTTGTTTGAGGAATGTAAAGGGGGCGATATATGCCTTGCATGCTAGAATCCCTGAAAACCAATCTTTGGGGTAGGGATCATGAGCTTGGGGTAACGGGTTGAAACCGGGAACCATGAAGTGGTTGGGCGGGTTCAGCGTCTGCGGTGCCTAAACGGCTGGAAACCATTTTCCTGCTTCTGGTGAAAGTCGTCTTAGGCTCAGTATTTATACGACTCCAGTCCACAAAGTTTGGTTGGAGATTTCGGATTCGGCGGTTCGTGATAGGGAAACCCAGGATATTCTTGCGGATGCTTGATGACCTATGGGATTTCAAACACGTCCAGGGCCGAAGCTCTCGGGGCTTCAATCTTCCGCAAGTCAGGGCTTGGGTTTCAAGGCAATCGTCGCAAAGATGTGGAGCTCCCCATCGAAATCCAAGCAGACACCACTACTGTTGAGGATATAAATCCGGAAAATTACCTTAAGGACCCTAGACTATGGGATTTACGGTATATTCCTTGTTATGGGTAGTGCAGATTTATATCATCAACCGCAGGTTCCCCTTACTGAGAAGGGTAATCTGTTCAGCATCGAGAAGGATTCCCCGCACAAATGGGTAAAAGCATGCTCCCAAACAGCCGTAAACAACCTTAAATCACACTAAACACTAAACAGCCATAGATGACTTTTTAGATCACGTTAAACCTCCTAGATAACCTTAAACCATACGTAGCCCTGTAGTCGCCAGGGCACTGGAGAACCAACCTGGCACTGTTCGTGCGCAAACTTCCTTAGCCACTGCGCAACCGGACTCGATGTGGGAATTCATTATGACTGCAGGGATTTGGGTTTAAGGGTTTATAGTTTAGGGTGTCGGGTGTAGAGATCTGGTGTCACAAACCTGACGAGCCTCCGAAACCCGGAACCATAAACTCACCGAAAACATGAGAACAGATCATGCGACTTAGTAAGTAAGGTCAGAAATACTTTTAGTTGGTGCTATAGGTAGTGATACCTTCACTCCTAAACTCCTGTAGATCCGAATAGCACACTTCAAGGAGCCATCTGACTAACCCTGAAAGAAGCCAAGTCCCATGATCCCGAAGGAAACGCTGAAACCCACCTTTTCAACCCAAAAAGTCTTTGTTAGCAAACCTTCAACCCTAAGGCCTCGAACAATTCGTGACATCCTAAACTAACCCAAGGAGGGATAGAACCAAAGGTTAACATTTGTGAATTTATATACCTCAAGAAAATTGAAGATCCTGATAAGATTTGTGAATTTATATACCTCAAGAAGATTGAAGATCCTGAAACAACCTTTGGCATTGACGCCCACTTCAGTACTTCCCTGTGGCGGGTTGTTTATTCCAAGGCCCGGACCAAGAATCCAAAACAAGCCCCATACCTTGTATCCCCAAACCCTTACACCCCTAAACCCTTAAGCCCCTAAATCTCCAAACCCTGAAAGCCTTGAACTCTAAACTTTGATACCTTAAAACCCTAAGCCAGAGAGACCCTTGAGGCCCACAGCCCACCCCTTCGCTTTGACCCAGCGGCGCCACGCGCATACGGATGCTGAGCCTGGGCTCTATGGACTAGGTATGGGCTGTTCAGGGCTTAAGTAGTTGAGGGTTTACGGTCTACAGTTTAGGGGTTTAGTTCGGGCGTTAGCGGCTTGAGGGCTTAGCGTCTAGCCCGAAAAAACCTGCAGCCCTGAAGCTCTAAAGAGAGGTATGTGGCTGCGATGGAGGAGTTCAGGAGAAAATCAAGGATCCGAAGATATACATGTATAAAAATATATGTATACCTATATATCTATATATCTATATATATATATATGTATATATGTATATATGTATATATGTATATATGTATATATATATATATATACACCTATATCTGGACCTAGAAAAATATATATACCTGTACATATCTCCAAACAGCAGGGTCCCTCCGTGTCATCTTAGCCAGAGGGGATACCCCTCGTTTCATGAAGCAGGGCCGTACAATAGTAGGACTGGGGAACCCACGTACCGGTGCACAGCCAAGCTATCAATCATGTCGGATCACAAGCTATTGCTGCTGTCCGGTATGTCCTTCTGGTGCTTATGGGAGAGTCGAGGAGTGAAAATAGGGACCACTCTAAAGAACTATATGGCGACCATGGTAGGGACCATCATAAATTATTATACAGGAACTGCTACAAGGTCTACTACAAAGGGCTAGTAACCAGTATAGGGACTGTCACAGTAACAGGGACTTCGATAAATCACGTTTCCCTAGGGACTATGATAGAAGGGGGTCCCCTCAAACCTTTACGACTGCAAGAAGGACTCCTCAAAGGGACCCTAGTTTAGAGAACTATCCACTGGATTCACTCTCTTACATCCCTCTTAAGCACTAGTAAGCTGTCGATTAGGACCTCGGAGCCTCTGCTGGCGAAAAGTTTGGGGGCCTTGGAAAACAAGAGGCCCACTGATACATATGGGAGTTTCTGAAAATAGGGGTACCTTATTTGGGGGTCCTTATTATAATAAGGATCCTACTAATTAGGGTACTATATTAGGGTCCCCTATTTTCGGAAACCCCCATGGACGTCTACATATATGCATGCACATCTCTTTGCATACAATTCTTATATATATATATATACACACACACCTCAGTATATAGATACAGATGATGAATATACTGTCTATCGTCATATAAGTATAAGGGTAGTTGTCAAAATTGTGGCCCCTTTTTGGGTACCCTGAATATTAGGTGCCGTACTATAATAAGGACCCAAAATAAGGGACCATAGTTTTGACAACCACCCAGACGGTGGATGATATAAACCCTGCATGACCCATAACAAGGAATATACCATCAATCCCATAGTTTAGGGTCCTTAAGGTAATGGCAGGATTTATATCATCAACCCTAAACCCTAAACCCTATAGATCCTTAAAGGAAGCCCTTAAAGGTATCCCCATATATCCCTTTAAAGGAACCCTAGGGATTTATATCATCAACAGTATTTCCTATCGACCGAAAAGATTGAGGCTCCTCTTTCCCCGACGAGTTGGCACCCAAAGCCCGAGGCTTGGGGTTTAGTAAAGTCTATAGGGTTTAGGGTTTTGGGTTTAGGGTTTAAGGTTTTGGGTTTAGGGTGTAGTAGGTGTAGTAGGGTTTAGTGGCTTTAGGTGGGGCAAAGTAGGTTTTCGCAGGGTTTAGTAGGGCGTAGTACGGCTTCGTCCCTAAACCTGCTGATGTACACCGACATCGATCGAATTTGGGGATGCCATGATAAAGCGCACTGGTGTTTTTCTTCGCACTACACAAGTAACAACGGTTGGAAGTCTGAGCACTGCTTGAATGTACAAATGTGCTGTGCTACTGTATCCTTCCACACAGCGCTTACTGGCTGCAACTGCAAAAGACTCTTCGTGGCCCAAGGGGATTTACGTAGCCTTCCCTGTGGACCAAGACATAACGTGTATTCGCGGATCAGAATGCTGCTCCCTTAGCACGTCACAACAATCTGGATCTGGCTGCAACAACACTCCTCCTCTGGGCTGCCGAAAGGAATGTCCAGCACCTTTTTCTCATAGTCGATCCCAGTTGTTGATGGTTCTGGATGCTGCCTGGCGATCCGCTATGTTGCTCCACGAAAGCAAAGTCCGACCTTGTAGGTTTCGATGGCGCCAAAGCCACAACAGGTATTTGTATTGCCTGACCGTAGGAAGATTTGCCTGGCCATACGTAGATGCCATTGCTCCTCCAAGTCGTGCTGCAAGGTCTCCCTTCAGCCCTGAAGTCTGAAGGCCGTTAACGCGCAAAGCTTCCCGGAGCTCCTCGCATCTCATCAGTCCAGCTACGTCAACGCTGACCCTCAGGACCTCGGTAGGATCGTCGCCTCCTTGGCTTGGTGTAGGGGAAAGCAGCATCGGCCGGTGATTCTCGCCGGACTGCTCTCTTCCCCTTGAGGGCTGTGTTCTTGGGGGTGTTGTAACCCTCATGGTGGACGGTTGCGATATAGGCGACCTCCTCGGACTCGTAGGCGTACTCGGTGTCGTGATGGGGTTGTTCCCCACCGTAGGTTCGACAGCAGCCTCAGCGCGTATGCGCTCCAGCTCTCGTTCGATCGCCTGTGTCGTAGCATCCCTCAATTTGCGAAGCTTCCTCAACTTCCGCTTGGAAGCTCCTGGGAGCCACTCTTGCGAGAGCTCTGCCACAATCCATTTCAGTCCCTCCCATATAACCAGTCCACCCAACACCATTAGGAGAACCATGAATATTCCCGCCATGTCCCAGTCGATGGAGATGCGTCGCTCTCGGTCAGGTTGCCCCGATGCCATTGTCACCATCAAACAGCATATAGTGGCAACCAACATTTTTTCCGAAACTGCGGCTGTGCTTTTGACTCCATGACCATGAACCGGAACTCCATCGCCAATCATGTTCCATCGTTGTAGTAGATCTCGTATTCGTTGTCCCGCCAATGCCTTGGTTAACAGGTCAGCTGGTTGGACCAGCCCCGGAACGTGGAACCCCTCGATCGCGCCTGCGGTGATCATCTCCTGCAGCCATGCTGACTTTAGTCTAAGGTGACGTGTCCTCCATGAGCCGTTCCCTGCGCTGATGGTCAGTGCAGAGATACTGTCGGATCCAACCCTCTTCGTCTCAATCTCCTCCGAGAGGTCCACCAAAAGAGTTTCTATCCCCAACAAAGCTACGGCCCCTTCCAGGATAGCTGTCAGCTCCGCTTCCGCCGTTGACAGCGCTATAGTTGACTGGCGCGACGATCGCCATGCAATGGGGTTCTTTCCCCATACCACCAACCATCCTGTATGGCTTCTTTCACTCTCCGGCGCGAAGGCGGCGTCGGGAAACATGGTGAGGCTGTTGTCTCCCCCGCGGAAGGACATGCGCCACGTTTTGGTTCCATATAGGTACCTGATCATCTTTGTTCCCACCTCCACCGCTCGGTACGGGGCCTTAAGGGTAAGCGAAGACAGTAACGAGCATCCATACGACAGGTCTGGCCGGGTCTTCTGGGATATCCACAACAACTCTCCTGTGACCCGCTGAGCCTGAGCAACGCCACCCTCATCTGCTTCCATATCCCCGTCTATCACGCTGAAGCTGGCGGTCTCCTTGCTTACAGGGATCTTGTCGGACCTCTGGATACCGTAGTTGCGACACAACTCCTCGATGTAGGCTTGCTGTCCCACCAGAATCATTGACTCATCATCGGTCATAGACAGCTCCATACCAAGGAACCTGAGTGGATTATCTCGCCGCAAAAAGGTCAACGGACTTGTGGCCCATACACTCTGCACCAAGTTGGCCACTTCCATCACCGCGTCCTCCAGCCCAATGATTAACATGTCATCAACGTATATGATGATCAACGCCTTCATCTCCCCCGACTCGTCTGTAACCACCCACCAACATGTTACAGTTCTGCCCTGCTTGAAGCGCCACCCAGACGGCGTAACCATGCTAGCCATCGTCCTGTCGCGGTAGGCCGACCAGAGCATTGGTGCCTCCCTTAAGCCGTATAGGGCCCTAATCAAACCCCACAGCTCTTGAGGCAAAGTCAATGATAGCCTCTCCAACACCTTTGGCGGGCAAACCACAATAATTGGATCTCGCACTGACTCGCCGATCGGGGTGAGGATAAAGGCAGCGACCACATCAATTAGTGCCACCTGCCAACATCGGGAGCGTGACATAGCCAATCCTGCCCGCACAGCCTCCGTAGGAGCCGTTTCACAGTAGTAGTCGGACATTGAGCTCGTCGCCATGTTTCCACAAACCACTAATCGAGCCTTCCTTCGGAACCATGTTTTCTTGTCGGCTGGATCAGCTGCATCGTTCGGCTTGATGGTATAGACCAGCTTGGTTGGTAGACGTTGAACACCCTTCTTCTGAAGCCACAGCGCCCTCTCTGGTGTCCCGGGCATTAGTCTCCGGATTGCTACTTCAATCCCCTTGACCTCCTTGGCGATGGCTTCCTTCCACTCATCCAGATGCAATAGTGCCTCACGTGGATCCACTGTGTAGGTCACCTGGAGGGGCTCCGTGAGGTTGGTCAGGATCTGCTCCACGTCCTTCGTGTAGGTCACCTCCGTTTTGTTCACTCTGGGAAAGTCCTGACGCAGGCTCCCCTTTGACGAGCTTCCCACTTTGACGCGTCCCTTTTCCGCTTCGACGAACATTTCCCAATCATCGTCGCTCAAGCCGCCGTCCTCATCGGTGTTTGTGACCTGCTCCTCCTGGACCTCTACCCTGTCCAACCGGGGGCCTGACTCTTGAATCTTCACAAAGTACTCTGGCAACTGTGACAACGGTGTTGGGTAGCCGTAGGAGTCCAGGGCCTTCACATCTTCATAGGAAAGTTTCCCCAGGCTGTCCGGGGTATAGGCTATGAGATTGATGCGAGTTCCCTCCCATGGCAGAACTTCGTGTGCTCGCCTTGGATCTAGCTCCACGGTCCTTCCCTCTTTCATCTCGTGGACCTGTCCATAGTGAACTCGCCCTTGCGGGTCGGCCCGCTGTAGAATATCGCCCACCAGAAGATCACCAGGCCGTAGCTCTACCCACAACGCTCCACCTCGCTCCGGGGTCCTGATTGGGACTATATAGTTCTTAGTACTGCTGTCATTGTTCGTGTCCTTGTGGTAGCCCCGATCACAGTCCTTCGAAACCATAATAGAGGTAAAGGTCGCTTCCGGGGAGAACTCCAATATGATTCTGGACAACAGCGTTCCCAGTTCAGGATGGTCGGGTAGGCCCTTCATCCATCCCACACTCCCACCATGCCTATAGACTCCGAACTTCTTGTCCTCAAAGAAGCCAGCTTCCCAGTCCTCGAGGATAAGCTTTGCCTTGGTTTTAGCATATGCTCCCAGCTCACTTTCATTGAGGGCCAGGACCTTCATCTCGACGTTGCTAGTTGGAGTTTTGGCCACAACTCTCCTCCTGGGCTTAGGTGGGTCTACCACTTCCAACTCTTCTTCGGGAGGTCCTGGGTCATATAGTCGAGGTCTCACATGGAAAGTATGTAGGAAGTGGCCCTTCTTTGCTTCCGACTCCGGAACATGTACAACATGGCCTCCTTCAAGTAGATTGCTGAGTCCAACATAACGTCCTCGGATCCACTTGGTCTCGAACGCCTTGTCACGTCGACGGGGTCCTTGAGCATCAAAGGCCTTCTCCTTCACTAAGACCGCCGCTCCATAGGGGGCAATAAGTTTGGACTTCCATCCCAATACTCGTGCCCTCTGCTGTGCCACCGCTGTTTCCGCCGCCGTGGGCCACAAAGTCGTAGGCAATGAACTCCCCAACAACAGCGTCCTCGTCCGGTCCTTGACCCATCGCACTGCCGCCTCTGCGCGCCCATTTCCTTGAGGCACGCCTGCCTCCGACCACGAAGCCCTTATGTGTCGATCTCGTAGCCATCCACGGATGCTGTGACTGAAGCATTCTCCACGATCGGCATGAAACCGATAAGTAGGAAGCCCGTGAGCATCGAGGTAGAGAACAATGTCCTGAATCGCACTTTTCACTTCTGCACCTGCGTTGGTCTTCAGGGCCTTGGCGAACATGAGTACCGTACTCTCAGGAGGTTCGCAGTCTTCACGATCGTGCCCGCCATGGTCTGGTTGATCCTCCTCATGTGGAACGTCTTCATCATCGCCTGGAAGTGATGGCTCGTATTCCGAGCACTCGTAGTCTTTCAGGATCTCCTTCTGCTTCTCGGTAGCTCCGATAAGGCTAGGCTGTTCCACGACTTGATCACCATCACCTTCACGACCTTGCTCACCTGGCACATCTTCTTTGCTATCACGACCTTGCTCACCTGGCACATCTTCTTTGCTATCACGACCTTGCTCACCTGGCACATCTTCATCAAAAAACGGATCCCACTCTTCACGTGGTAGTAGTCGAGAAGGTGCTTCTGTCCCTCTGCTTTGCTCTGGTCCTTCGTCTAGCTTGTGGCTATTGTCCCTCTCTTCACGTGGTAGTAGTTGAGAAGGTGCTTCTGGCCCACTTCTGGCCCTTTGCTTGTGTCTTCAACGTCCAAGGGATCTTGAAGACCATCATCCTCAGGTGGTTTCCGGCCACTATAGGACTTCACGAACTCCTTCGGCAGAGTGTACTTGCCCACCATCAAGTAGCGGAGCCCCTTACCCTGAGTGCCCTTCGAAGTACAGTCCAAACCCGGCTTCACTGGCCCAGCGATGTCAATCGTGAGGGTGAACATATCCGGATGACGAACTCGAGCGTGCCGACGCCCTGTTCCTCGGGCCAAAACACAGGTTAGGCATTCCCGATTGTAGTCGAGGTGGTTGCTATCGACATGCCTTTTCCACTGTGCTGCCGTCATAGGACATAATCGCGGGGTAGTAGCGGGATGTCTTCTCCAAAACGTCATTGCCATCACCACGGCCTTTGTAAGACCCTCCGACCAAGTCCCGCTCGTATCGCTTCCTCCTTCTTCCACAGGACACTCCAAGCCTTCACCCTGGAGCCCCTGTAGGTAGTAGACGTTGGTCCCCAATGTTGTAGGCAACGACCCATCTGATCCCATCGCCCGTTGGTCAAAGGTGACCTTTGTCATCTCGTACTCCTCCTGGAATGACTTCCACATCGAGGTATCCCACAACGCTCTTCTCCGCGGCGCTGTTCCCAACGAAACATCACCTGGGACTCCAGGCGGATGTTCCAACATGAAGGCGACAGGTCTTCCTCGATCCGCCCCTCGGGCGTTGAGGGCCCGTCCCTCTTCTGCCACTGCATACAACCACAACATCCGAGTGATCGCTGCCAGGGACTTGTTGTCCCACACCACTTCGTCATTGACTTGGCGTCCCAGGCTCGACCGCCCTGGGGGCCCTCCTATCAAGGCCTCTATTCTCCCATGCATTGCGCCCCACAACAACAACTTCCACGTAGAAGCTCTCATCACATCATGGGCGCGGTTCCTTTGGACGTCCAGTTCCACCACCACAGTATCGCCTTCATCGAGCTGGTACACCTGAAAGTGTCCCGGGCTACCGGCATAAAGATGGACTATCCACCGTCTTGAGGTCCACAATCTCCTCCTCTGGGGTCTGCTGAGGTACTCGATGTCCTTGAAGACCTTCCACTCGTCGTTCATCAGGTTCTCCTGTACCAAACCTCCCACGCATTCCCCGGGTAACTCTGACAACATCGGCGAATCCCTTATCGCCCGTAGTCCTGCCTCCATAGACCCATTGCTCACATACGACCTCAAATGGCTCCTCCACGAATCCTCCATCATGAGCTCAGACGCCTCCACCACATCCTGCGTGATCGCCGTGGCGTTCTCCAGCATCTCTCTTTTTCGGTCCTCCAACCGTGAAATCATTGCCAAGGCTTCCGCTTCCTGTATCAGAGGACACCCTCCACAAACACCAAGTGACCGCGGCACTCCGTCAGGATCGATAAGGAAGCATCCCCTTTGAGACCAGTCCAAAGAGTAGCCAAGGGTTTTCACCAGTTCCCCTAAGGGGACTATCGTTTGTCCTTGAGTCACCGTCGTGGTAGTGGATGAAGTTCTGCTCCTGGGTGGCATTAACAAAGAACCTCCGGATCCCAGCTTCATTGTCAGCGAGTTGTTGCCGGCGAGCTGAACTATGACCTCCTCCGATTGCAACCACTCCTCCTCGTCGTGCGCATTCCGAAGGCAGTGGGTAGCACCCGAGTCGAGAAGAGCCGTAGTCGACTTGTCCATTGCAGACACCCGAACATCACAAAGGCTCAGGACCCGAACTTCCGCCTTGGTCTTCTCAGGGGAGCTTTCGCCATCAGCCGGGGCCTGCGCGTGGATCACCTGCTGCGCCGCCTGAATCAGTGTCTCAAGGGTCCATGGAGTTCCTTGCACCGTGCCCTGGCTTCCTGAGGATAGCGATGGTGCCGTAGACATAGTCGCCAAGCTGGGGGTAGTAGAGGGAGAAGTGGTAGCGGAGCCCTTTTCCCCGGTGGGATTTTGTCGTGATGATGGTTTACCAACACCACAATCTCGAGCTCGATGACTTTCACTCCCACACTTCAGGCATTTTTTCGCTCGCACCTCCTTTTCCATACCACTCATTGAGTGGCTGTAGGCACACTTGTCCCCTCTTTTACATCCATTCGGCTTTGCGAAGTACCTGCACAACTCCTGGCTCTTCTCCCGGCCCTTTGGTCCCTTTGGCGATGCCGTAGGCGAAGACGCGTCCATTGCTTTCAAAGCCACCCCCGTACTCTGGGATGGTGTAGCTCGCTGGGACCCAGCGATCCCCTCCAACTCCGCCTGTAGGTGTCTTTGGTATCCCTGAACTTGTTCCAGTGTTGGTTGTCCATCCAACCTGTAGGTCGACCTCAGCATGCTTGTTCGGAACGATGCATCGGCCGAGGAGTTGATCGACTTCGCGGTTAGGGCCTGTAGCCCCCTGCTCATGACCAATGGGTCCGGTGGACTCATTCCCATTGTCCGGCACCGACTCAACCACCTCGGCCAACTCCTGACCTCTGCTAGAACCGCCTCCACGCTGTCGCCTGCAAGATACTCCTGCGGAGACTGCAGCCTCTTCAGCACTTCTTGTCTCTCCGCTGATCCGCCCGGCTGGAACCAAATGAACAGCCGAAACAACATCGCGGGAGCCCTCTGAGTCAACTGCTGCGCCACCATGTCACCCTTGATCTCCTGTGGCATTGATCCCAGAAGCATTGTACAGGCTCTCGCATTCATCCGGCTCCACGGGTCCTGACACAGCTCGTCCATGCCTTCCGGGGTGATTGCTAACCTCTCCAAATGAGATGCTGCAAGCCATCGGCTGTAAGCGGCTCGGACCACCATCAAGACTGCTCCCCACCACTGGCCCGACTTCTCGCTGACATCCGTCATCGCAGTGGTAGTGATTTCCAACCAGTCGCTGAATCTAAGAGATGCCTCGGCGCCTCCCTTGTGATCTGGTAATTGTGCTAAACTCGTGGTCCCGGCCTTCAGGGATTCCGCTGGCCCAGATGCCGAGGTTTTTGTAAGGGCCTGCGCCTGTAGTTGCTGAAGTTGCTGCATTCCTCGAGCTATGGCTTCCAGCATAGGAGTCTCTGCCCTTTGCCCCTGACTCTGGGGCGGTGGCGACGGCGTGCGTTGTCGAGGACCTCCCAGTAATGATCGCAACAAACCTCGGGGCTCAGGAGGATGCTCAGGACTGGGAGGCATAGCGCTGCTTGAGGCTGGTTCCATTGGTGTAGGGACTCCGGTGTAACCCCCTTGTTGGTTCCCGAAACCTGAAGAAGCTATTCGTGGATCACCCAATAGCCCGCCATGACCTGATCGTCCGCAAGGGCCTGATGCAACGGTAGGGGGATCACTCAATAGACCGCTGTGACCTGATTGTCCGCAAGGGCCTGATGGAGCTGTAACTAGATTGCCCAACAGACCGCCGTGACCTGAACGCTCACAAGGGCCTAATGCAGCTGTAGGAGGATCACTCAATAGACCGCTGTGACCTGATTGTCCACAAGGGCCTAATGCAGCTGTAGGAGGATCGCTCAATAGACCGCCGTGACCTGATTGTCCACAAGGGCCTAATGCAGCTGTAGCGGGATCACTCAATAGACCGCCGTGACCTGATCGTCCACAAGGGCCTAATGCAGTTGTAACGGGATCACTCAATAGACCGCCGTGACCTGATCGTCCGCAGGGGCCTACCGGAGCTGTAGTTGCAGACTGCAGCGCATCCCGACTTCTTCTCACTTCATCCAACTCCCGCTGTAGCTGCTGATTTCGAGACTCTGAGTCTTCCAGAAGCAACCTTATCCCAGACAGCTGTCTCTGAACCTCCTGTTGTATAGCCTCTGCAGGTACTGAGCTCGATGGCGGAGTGCTTGGTCGTGGAAGTGGTAACGGCCGCGACCTCTGCGGGGACCTCAGAACGAAAGGTCGTCCTCCCGGCGGTGTCTCGCCGGTCAGCGGGCTGGGAGCCAGCTGATCATGTCCCACTGCCAGGTACGAACCCAACCGGCTCACCCATCGTGGTAGTCCTTCCATGACGCCCATCCAATTATTTTGACCCACATTCCCCACTCCTCTTGACCGCGGGGTAAAAAACTCATATGTAGCCGCCGTCTCCTCGCCTGCCGCCGCTATTCCAGCTCCAGGTCTGCCACCCAGGTCAGGGATCGTTGGTGGCATCGTTGCCTCCACCTGGCCCTGCATGGCTGTGGCCTCCAGCGAGGCTGGTGGTCGACTGGTAGAAGACGCCGGAGCATCCAGGAGCCGCGATGCCTCCATAGAACTCAAAGGTTCCTGCGCGGCTTGCATTCCCTCCGCTCTCGGGGCTACGGAACCAGTGGCCCTATTGCCACCATTGAGACCGCTTGATTGCGGTCCGTCTGTGCCGTTCAGTTGCGCAGTCGGCTGAGCTTGGGCGCTCATAACCTGCTGATGTACACCGACATCGATCGAATTTGGGGATGCCATGATAAAGCGCACTGGTGTTTTTCTTCGCACTACACAAGTAACAACGGTTGGAAGTCTGAGCACTGCTTGAATGTACAAATGTGCTGTGCTACTGTATCCTTCCACACGGCTGCAACTGCAAAAGACTCTTCGTGGCCCAAGGGGATTTACGTAGCCTTCCCTGTGGACCAAGACATAACGTGTATTCGCGGATCAGAATGCTGCTCCCTTAGCACGTCACAACAATCTGGATCTGGCTGCAACAACAAAACCCTAAACCGGCTAGGGGCCGAAGCCCTACAGCCCAAAGTCAAAGGCCCAGGATCCCAAACTCCCAGACCTTCAGGGATCCTTTAAGGGGTACTATAAGGGTTCCTTTGCGGGATCTATAGGGTTTAGGGATTTAGGGTGTTTGGGGTTCATGGATTTTATTTGATCCTGTAACTTCAACCCTAAAGGTTTAAAACCCTGAAGCCTAAAAGCCTACACCCCAAAACACCAAAGCCCTAAACCGCAAACCTTCAAACCCTGAACACAAAACAACATCTCCCTAGAGACCCGAGGCCCCCCCATACCTTGAAACGTGAAAACCCTAAATCAATGCTTAGAGCGCGCGCATTATCCCTAAGTCATGAAAACCCGAAGAGAAAGCCTAAGTCCTTAAAGCCACAAGAGCTCCAAACTGAAGGCCATGGTGCCAATCCGAGGGCCTGAGCATGGTCTGCAAGCATGGCATACGCGAGTGAATGTCGTCGGGCAGGTTCCTGGGCTGGACCGGGTTTAGGGTTTAGGGTTGTTGGCTTTCCTGGAGCCCGTCTAAAGGTTATTGTACAGCACTGTCACAAGTACAACAGCCCGTACCCTGACCTTAAACGGTCCCGTTCTTAGCAGGGACTGGGGGAATGGGTAATTGGGGACTATCATTGGGGATCGAAAACAGGGGACCCTAAATAGTAGGATCCTTATTATCAGGAGCCCCAAAATAAGGTACCCCTAATTTTCAGAAACTCCCATATAGCGACTACTATAGGGATCCATTCCCCCATTCCCTACTAAGCACCAGACAGTGAAAGCTCCTTTTCTGCTTTCGGTGCCCTGAGCTTGGAAAGCCCCGAGGCTGAAAGCTCGAGATCACGGCTCAGAGCTCAGAGGTTTCTTTGGTAGTATCGTATAGTATAGTATGGTACAGTATGGTACAACAAAATAAAGTACAGCATAGTATGGTATAGTATGGTACAACAAAATGAAGTACAGTATGGTATAGCATGGAAAATATACTATAGTGTGTAGTATAGTGTAGCATCGCATAGTATGCTATAGTCTAGTATAGTACTAAGATGTATTCCCAGCGGCTTGTCGCGCTTGAACTTGGCATGTACTTGCACCACATCCTGGTCTTGCGGATTGGGCTTGGGTATTCTGTTTTTGGCTTGAGATTTTGGGTATTTGGGTTAGAGGGGCCATCTGGATGCCCAGCTTCTGGCCTTGCCCGCCGTGCTTCTCGACTTCAAGTTCGACTTGAGCGGAATCCGATCGGGGATGGCCTGTCACAAGTTCTTGAAGATCTTTTGCCCTCGGTTCTGCCGGTCCTTGGTCAGGGTGCCGGTGCCGGTAGCTGGCTGAGCTTCGTCTCGGCTGCCGCAGCGAAGCTTAAAGCTTCGGACTGTGCAGCTTTGCGGTTCTCTCATCCAACTTTATGGGGTTTACTGTAGGTCGTCTTCAGGCATCCCGAAGAGGGCCCCAGCTTCAGAGCTACCCATGCTTCTGGCTTTATGGCTTTCCTCTTCGAGGCGTACAGCTTGCCCCCAACCTCGACCAGACCGTTGGCTTGGACGGCCATGGCGGGTACATCACAAATGCCATACTTCCGCTATAGTTGGGATACGTAAAGCATCTGCTTCTCCTCGTTTTGATAGCTAACATAAGTTCCGTAGATATCGTAAAACCCCTCCAGAACACCAGAAAACCTTTCTACAGCTCCTTTTGCTCACGATAACCCAAGTCGAGCTTCTGAACAAGATGAGCCCAGTAACCATCTTCAAAGCCTACTACACTTCCTAAAACCCTAAACCGTGAGAAACCATGAAGCCCCAAACCCTGAACCCCTAAACCCTGAACCTTCACCAGCCTTTGTCTTCATGCCAACAAAACGCCAAACCTGAAAGCCTTGATCTGAATCCTCAAACTTAGACTCTCAAGCCTAGATTCTAGATCCTAATCCTGAACCCTAAACCCTCAAGTCTAAACCCCAACCCTGAACCCTGAACCCTGGATACGAAATCCTAGACCCTCAACTCTAAACCCTAGACCCTAATCCTAAGCCTTAGACTCTCAAGCCAAAAATCCTAATCCTGAACCCTAAACCCTCAACTCTAAGCCCTAATCCTAAACCCTGAACCCTGGATACGAAATCGTGTGTCCTGCACCCTCAACCCTCAACTCTAAACCCTCAACCCTCAACTCTAAACCCTAATCCTAAACCCTGTGTCCTGCTGGTCTGTACTGGCATCCACGAGCATGGTCAGTTCGCGCAGCTCGGGGACAGGATGTACCCTGAGCCCAGGTCTTGCCACTCAATACAGTTGATGATATAAATCCTGCATACCCATAATCAGGAATATACCATCAATCCCATAGTTTAGGGTCCGTAAGGTAATGCAGGATTCATATCATTATCAATAGGGCCCCCCCCAAAAAGCACATAAGCAAGACTGAGGATAGCCCAATAACGTAGGGCTATCCCTATAACATGCTTATGCTTACGTGCTTTTTGGGTCCCTAGCTCAAGGGTGCTTACGTAAGTTACCTTTGGTTAGTAGGGAATGGAGGAATGGGGTACAATTATGACTACTATTACTACCATTCTTCCATTCCCTACTAACCAAAGGTAAGTTAAAGGATCGCGGGACTTCGTGGCTAGGGTTCTAAATCAGGGTAGGTTCTCTGTTAAAAGCTTAAGAGTCCCATTGTTTCCGGTGATTAACGGCTTGGAGTCCAGCATATGGGGGAGGCATGTTCATAAGAAGGAAGTCACCAGAACACCAAAACAAAAGTCGCGGGTCTTCCTTAGGAACGTGTGACGATCAACCTAAAACTATGCATACTCGTACTGGAAACAGGCTCTTGTCTCTTGAAACCTAAAGCCCCAAACACGGCGGACCAAAACCCTAAACCCAACAAGCGTACGAACTTGACGCACAGAGCCCGACAACCTCTCTCTCTCTCTCTCTCTCTCTCTCTCTCTCTCTTTCTCTCTCATATATGTACATGTATATATATATACAATATATACCCCACTATTACGAACTCTCAAAGCAACGAAGCCCGAAACTTGCAAACATGAGCCCATGTGACTTGTTCTAACCCCTGAACTTTCAAAACTGCATACGAGGCAAAGAGGGTTCAGGACTTAGGGTGTAAGCTTTGCGAGTTTATGGTTTCGGGTTACCGTGGCTGGGCTTCCCGGTTTTCTGTTTTGGAGTCTGGAGTGTCAGGGCCTGGAAGCAGTTCAACGTCGACACCTTCCTTAACCCGCCAAAACCTACCTTTTTTGTAAGTTCTTCCTGCAAGCCCCAATGCGGAATTTAGAGGGACCCTACAAAAAGTAGGTACTGGAAGGTTAAGGTAGAACCGTAAGCCCAGAGACCCGAAAGACCCATGAACGCCAAACTCAAAGACCCCAAAAACTCGAAAAACCTGAAACGCTGAGACGTAAAGGGAAATTACCCCCGAGACACCGACGCAAGCCTTTATAAACCGCTAGACCCTAGACACTGGACTGGAACCCGAGGGTTCTATGACCTGAGACCTGTCACCGCTACAGTCTTAAAGCTCATGCGCTTAGGGTATAAGGGTTGCAAATCTGCTTATAAGGGGTTAGCTGGGTTAGACTTGATCTAAGCGGATTCTTAAAGACTCCAGATCTTAAAGCCCCCACATCGAACAAGACCCTTCATAGAACCATTGAAGAAGTCAGGTAAAGATCCCTCAAAGAACCCTTGATTTCCTCAGAGAAGGAGAAGCCTGCACAGCATCGAACTGCTCAAACTGTGCTTTGAGTAGGCGGCCTGGCCACAGCTGCATGGAAACGGCTTAGGATCTAGGGCTGCATGAGCTTTGGCGTATCACTATGGCGGAAAAGGGTTTGGGGCTTAGGGCTGTCAGGGTGCAGCACTTGTAGGATATTGGTTGAGGGCGGTTCAGGGTTTCGGGGGGGAGGCATGTAAGGAGAGGCTTTTCGGATTCTTTAGGGCTTCGGGATTCGATAAGAAGAAGCGAAGGGAAGTCTCACTGGCCCACGGGTTTAATCACAGGACCGAGCTTTCTGACCTCGAGTGAAACTCACAGAATTGTGGAAGTCAACAAGAGTTGGATCTCGCTCCCTGACACGCCTCAAACGGCCGAAACTTGAATGTAGATATGTCGAGTGTTCTGAATGACGTCCCCCGTTGGACACCTTACATAGGACTTTCTTGAGTACTTCGACTGGCTTTGTTCGGGTATGTACACGTAAAACTCAAACGTATTCGGGACAACACTCTGCTCCTTCTCGCCGCTGGGGTTCCATGCTCCTAACCCCAGAAGCGCAACACTGTTTGCGGGTTTGGGAATTTCGGTCTACCTACAACCTCCTGGTTTTCCGTTCTCCCTGCTGGGGGACCTGGATGTGCCGGTGCCTAATATAGGAGCCTTAAGAACAGCTAGAACTGCATTTTGGGTACATGCAAAACTATGCATCTACATACGGAGCCCCAAAATAGCATTGGTAACTATTCAGGCACCTGTGTTACAATTTGGCTGTCCCTTTATGTACAAGCAAGCATCAGCAAGAACCGCTCCAACGGCGATACACGGCTTTGGCAGGACATCCTTCGCTCGAAAGTGACCGGAGCACGACCCCGCAACTGAACGAATCTTACCTTTGGTTAGTAGGGAATGGAGGAGTGGTGTACCCAACTATAACTATAACTACCACTACCACTACCACTACCACTACTACTACCACTACCACTACCACTACCACTACCACTACCACTACCACTACCACTACTACTACTACTACTACTACTACTACTACTACTACTACTACTACTACTACTACTACTACTACTACCACTACCACTACCACTACCACTACCACTACCACTACTACTACTACTACTACTACTACTACTGCTACTACTACTACTACTGCTACTACTTCTTCCATTCCCTACTCACCAAAGGTAAGGAATTCACAGGTTTTTCTTTGAAAAACCTATGCAGCTAGACACCTACTCCCTAAACGATGAGCGCTCCACCACCCCAACTCAAGGTACCTGACCCTGCAGCGCCAACTCTATGATCCCAAACCCTTTTCCACCCCTTTAACCCGACAAGTCACCTACTAGACCTAAGAGTAAACTAGGAATAAAAAGGGTGACCTTTTTGGTTTAAAGGGGGTTGTAAGGGAACCTAAACCTTAAAAACAGGACTAAGGGCCTACTCTGGGTCCTAGATGCCTAAAACCTTGACACATGGGAGTTTGCGAACATTAGGGGTACCTTATTCTGGGGGTCCTAATAACCCTCCTACTATTTAGGATACTATATGGGAGTTTCCGAAAATACGGGATCCTAATATGGTACCCTAAATAGTAGGATCTTGTTATAAGGACCCCAAAATACGGTATCCCTAATTTTCGGAAACTGTCATATTTGGGTCCCCTATTTGTGGAAAGTCCCCAATCATCATCCCAGGCCCAGGCCTGAACCTTCGACGCGAAATGCGAGAAATCCTGCATGCCTGAAACCCTACGTACTTGGAGGTTCATGGGTGTTTAGAAGGGATCCTTTAAGGGTCCCTTTAAGGGGATCTATAGGGGTTCCAAAAGGTTAGGGCTTACTTGGAGGTTCATGGGTAGTTATAAGTGGGGTTATAAGTAAGATAACTTTGCTTATAACCCGGATTAGGGGACTTGTAACCCGACTTATAACTAACCATGAACCTCCAAGTACCCCGTATCCTCGTCTCTACCCATTAAGCTCCCATTTTTTTCACGGGCTTAGAATGTTGAAAACTTAGGATCCAGGAGTCAAGTTCGTCGGGTTCTGTAATGTCCCAGAGACTCCAATATCCCTTAATTAAGGAATATGCCTCAAATCATATTTGGGATCCTAGGGTATATTCCTTAATTAAGGGATATTGGAGTCTCTGGGGTTTCAAAGCTCCCCGAGACTCTCCGCAAGAACCCGCCGCCTCCGACTCTGCGACCGTGGACATGCCATCAAGGTCCTGCACGTGGTCATAGTTGGGTAACATTTTACAGTTTATAGGTACTTGAACCCAATAAGGAATAAACACATGAATCTTTAATCCTGTCCCAACCATGAACTAGTGCACATCGGGCTTCTGCCGGGGCCTAAGCCTTAGGCACCAAACCCCAAAAGCCCGTATGCCCCTCGGGTAAAACGTAAGCATTTGGGGGTTGGAACGTACTTTATATGTTACTTGACAGCAGCTTTTGCCAGATTATACGCCCCTTATCTTCAAACATCTCGCGGCCCAAGCCCACCGCATGCTGCTACGTGTTGTGGCCGCGGCTGAAGATTGAATTTTCGCCAATGCCATAAACCACTTTAGCATAGGGTCTGTATAGAGTTTGGACCATGAGCCTGGCAAGCCTTGATTCGTGTTTCGTGAACATACTGCGATTCCCGGAAAGTTGCGTATAAACCCTCAATCCCAATCCCTACGTGGAGGCTCGTGGGTACTTATAATGGGTTACAAGTAAGGTAACTATACTTATAACCCTTATTCGGGGACTTTTCACCCTACTTAAAACTGCCCATGAACCTCCAAGTCGAACCTGCACCCTATACCCTTCTAGAACCTCTGCAGATCCCTTTAAAGGGACCCTTATAAAGGAACCCTAATAACTACCCCAAAATGGACCTCCAAGTAAACTCCAAACCCCTCTGGTCAACGAAGGCCCCGCCTCTTCGGAGTACATGGAGAGGGACTCGGGGATCGCTCCCAAAGTGGCATCCGGCTGCAGCCTGGAGTTTCGTTTTTTTTTTAAAGGGTTTAGGGGAGTTTCGGGGGTTTAGGGATTTGAGGATAGAGGGTTCAGGGATTCGAGGCATAAGGGTGTGGGGTTGAGGGTCTAGGGGTTAAGGGTTTAGGTGGAAGCGGAAGGGGAACTGACAAAATGCAGGGACCGTAGGAGTTAGATTAGGGCTTGGGGGGAGACGAAGTTAGGATGTGCTTTGCACATTTTGGGGGGTAATTACACCATGCTTGCGTGCAATCCGCTACGTAGTTCCTTTTCGTTTGTTAGGGTTGCATTCTGTTGGGGAGGTGGGCTTGATTGCACTGGTTATGAGCTTAGGCGTTTACCCAGACCCGTGGGAGGAGGAAGATCCCCTAATTTGGGGCCCTATACGACTAAGGGCACTTTAAAGGAATCCCCATTAAGGGATCTACTTTTTGGATCCTCTCGGGGGTCTGGGTAGTTTGGAGTCAGGCTTAAGGAGGGTCAAGTAAGGCTTTAGCCGCTGTAGGATTTAGGATCGAGCCCGGTTCAGGGCTTGGGCGAGTGGAACCTACGTGCCCTGGCATTCCCCGGATTCGTTGTAAGGGCCCCTGCTTCAAGGGGGCCCCTCCATCCCATAACGGCGTGTGAGAGCTTCGGAAAATTAGGGGGTACCTTATTTTTGGGGTCCTTACAAGAAGGATCCTGCTAATTAGGGTATCATATTAGGGTTTCACTATCTTCGGAACCCCCCCCCCCCCCCCCCCCAAATTTTGGGGGACATGGACAGTCGAAGGCTTGTAAACCTCAGGCTCCAGGATTTAGTCCTGTACCTCATGCAGATTTGGGAATCGGAACCGCATCAACATACTTGGAGGTTCATGGGTAGTTATAAGTGGGGTTCTAAGTAAGGTGACTATACTTATAACCCTGAGTAGGGGACTTATAACCCCACTTATAACTACCCATGAACCTGCAAGTAGAATCAATGCCCTGAAGCCCTTCATGCATCGCTGCAGCGGCCTCGTATCCGGATCTTCCGTAAATGCCAACAAGTGATGGGGTCCTCCGAAACAATCGGCCCCGTCGGAGGGGATGGGTCATCTGCGTAGCTGTCTAAATGACTTAAGGTCCTTTTTCATGTCCGTTTCAGAAGGATGCCGTACTATTTTGGGGGGATCCAAACAGGGACCCTGGTTTGGAGAACTACCCATGTGAAGGGCTTTCGCGTTCTAAACCGGCGCGGATTCGGCCTGAGACCCAAACACATAGTATGGTTGGCTCTCCGCGATTATGCTCCACTTCTGGATCCCTGAAGAGTGCACCACAGTTGTCATGAAAGTTACTGACGGGCCCAATACTGTCACTCTCCCACAAAGAAACCCAGACGGGCAAACCCTGCAACAAATGGACAAGTAAGCACATATTATTTGTGCACACACAATCACCCATAAACACCGCAGTCTACCCCAGGTAGCTCCCATTGATAGCTATAGGGCAGCACACACTTATAGGTGGTTGTCAACATCATGGTGCCCCTTGTGGGTCCTTGATATAATGCGGCACCTAATATTTAGGGTACCCAAAAAGGGACCATAATTTTCCCTATTATAATACGGCACCTAATATTTAGGGTTCCTAAAAGAGAACCCTAATTTTGACAACCACCCTTATACATGCCAGAAGAGCCAAGAGTCGAAGGTTTGGATCTCGGCATAAGGTTAAGAGGCTGGCTCGTTGGTCTAGAAGACAGGCTGTTGAAACGGGCTCTTCATAGGGGTTGGGGGATCTTCACATGGGTTCATATGCCTCAGATTGTTTTGTACAAACTCTTGTTCAAAGGTCATGAAGTACCATTTAGGGGTTTAGGGTTTAGGCTTTGGTGCGAGACCCAAACCCTAAAGCCTGGACAGCAAAAGCACAAAGCCGTGGTAGTCCTGCAGCATCCAAAAATCGTGGCACGGGAACATGGAAAATGTCCACACCGACCTCCCAGCGCGGGGGTAGATTACAGTTTCCTTGTGTAGAGACTATCACTGGATACATTTACAAATTATTCAGACGTCTGGACTCACAGCCTTAAACCGCTACACGGCTCAGGCTTGTCACTTTTTTGTTCATGTTTCCTTCCGGTTTCGCTACCTTAAACTGCCAGAACGTACGATTTTTGTAGGTTCTTATTGCAAACCCTCCTATGGAATTGAATTCTTAGGGACCCTACAAGAAAGTCGTTCGGGTAGTTTCAGGTAGAGTCTAAAGCCGCAGTGTCGCTACGGGTCTCAAGTCCAGTGTCTCACCCTCCGGCTTGATCTTCATGGTTTTGGTTTATGTAGGGGCCATAATCATTAGAACAGGGGGGGAAAATCTTTTTTGCTATGCTTATACTTAGGAACACCCAAAAGAATATAGGTAATTATTAAGGCCTCTATAGTACTCCCAAACTTCCTAAACTTTAAGTACACGCTTATACTTAGGAACACCCAAAATATTATAGGTAATTATTAAGGCCTAAACCGGGAGACCTGGGCCTTATTCCCTTTCAGCCCTGGACCGCTTACGCCCCAAGGTTGGGGACAGGGTAAACCTGGGCCGATACATGAAGCGTTTAGTGGTTTAGGGTTCCCCCATTCGTGTGTTTTGGGCTTGAGAAGCACGGGAGTCGGCCTCCTTCACGTCCCCGTGCTGTTGCCCCGAGAACGGGCAACACTAGGTTGTCGTAGGATTCGCAGGGTTTAAAACTGTACGGCTGTGCAAGGCACTGTCGGGCTTATGTTGTGAAGGCTTAAAGGCACCAGTGAAGCAGTCCGCTATCTTACTGCAGCTATACACTGCGACATGATGTGAGGCATGCAAGTCTCAGCCCTGCTGAAAGTGCATCTGTGGGGCTTGGTGGCTCCAGGTTAGCGCTTAGGGGGGCTTCAGGGTTCAGGGGTTTAGAGTTTCGAGGTTGTTGAGGGTGTAGGGCTTACGGGGATCGGGGTTTGGTTGGGAGGTTTTGGGCCAGTGATCCCAAAGACCAATACTTCACTTGCGCATGATACCTGATTACTACAGACAGGATACATCCAATTCGCTTGGAGGAGCATTGCTCAGCTAAGAAGCATTGGACTCTCCGAAAATCTGAGTCTTAAGCATATGAAGGGATCATGTAACGACGCATATTCTAAACCAAAGCCTTTGCAACTCTACTCTAGGGACATGCCTCCCAAAAGCTAAACCCCAAACCCTGACACCCTGCCCCGCCCGCGAGTACGCACTTGGCAGTGAGACGCGCAGGCACGGCGGAATGCCTCGGCTTCATGTGGTCTTCTAATACAGGGGTCCACAATGATTTAGAACATTTTCTGGCCTCCATGTTGCCCTGAGCCCTAGGGCCTCCCATGATCTCCTAAGTAGTAAGGGTATACTTTTGCATGAACCAGGAGACCCGAGCAAACAAGGGTGAGAAGGTGGAGAATAAAGGAGAGTTCTCTCCTCGCGGTCCCGAAGGTGCGGGACTGGAATAGGGTTTTGGGGGTTTGTTGTAGTATAAACACAATACAGAGCGCGAAGGAAATCATTTTTGTGATTATTCAGGCTTCCATGGTATACATGGAGTCGCTTGACGGCTGTGTGCAAGACTTAAGGCTGGAGCCGGAAACAAGCTGTGTACGGGCCTGGCTGTCCTAGGCTGACCCCAAAACTGCACTCGAGCCCGTGCGAAAGCAATGCATGCAGGGATGACCCTAATAAACTCCACCCAATGCCCTGAACCCGACAACCAAGCCCTGAAACTATTGTTTCTGCAAGTCAACCCCAGCCGGAAGGTGACAGCGCAGCTTCCGTGGGTGGCTTGGGTTCGTGCAGCGTCTGAGGTGCTGGTAAGCAAGCGACCGTGAGAAACAACGCCACACCCTAAATCCGGAATCCCTAAATCTTCAACCCTAAACCTCTCAACCCTGACATCGGGCGTGATGCATCCATGAACCCTGACAGACGACATCCACGTTCTGGTACCCATGCTTATTTATATATACTTCGGCCGTACAGGGGTTCCAAGCTAGTCACCCTACGGCCGAAGAACATGGGCAGTTCTCTCAAATAGGCCCCCTTGTTGCAAACCCCAGAGATGCCAACCCTCAGACCTTTCCAAATTTTGAATGGGTTTAGGGAGTAGACCCACTTAAACCTAAAACTCTAAACCCTGAACCCCATTAAGCCTTAAATCCGGAAGGGCTAAGCCTGAAAGAACAGCACCAAGCCTGACTCATCTCGACGCGCAAAAGCCCAAACACTGAGGATACATCTTTGGGTTCGGGCTCCCACTGTGCAAATCATGCTTCTGAGCGGCTGCAACTTTTCTCCTGTTCCTCCCTCGCTTTCGGTTTTTGGTTTGCACCTCAGTTGAGTTCGTATCCTTCTTATCATCTTATCATTATAACCCACCAGCCCTGTATCCTAGGAGGACTGGCAGTATTCCTCGGATGACAATACCACAAAGCGGTTAAAGGTCACCTGCTCTACAAGCAGACCCGAAGTCTCACTCTTTATCTTACCTTTGGTTAGTAGGGAAGGGAAGAATGGTAGTTGTAGTAGTAGTAGTAGTAGTTATAATTGTACCCCATTCCTCCATTCCCTGCTAACCAAAGGTAAGTTATTGATAGAACTTGTATTATGATGCTTCTTCTTCTTACTATGGCTATAGGGCTCATGGGACTTAAGGCTTTCTACGTCGGGCATGTCACCCTAGAGCTGCGGGTGTCGGCAGGACTAGGGGCGTTAAGAGATGGTTGTTGCTTTAGCGCGCTTTGCGGCTCAGGGTCTATGGGGGTTTAGGGCTTTTCGCTTTAGGGGGCTTTTGAGGGTGTGGGATGAGGGGGCTTGGGGTATAGGGTTTCAGGGTTCAGGGCAGTTTTTGCTCGCAGCTCCGGTCGGCGAGTGTGAGGGCCTTAACGATCCGAATAGGGTTTGGGCTTGCGGATATAGCATGCTACAGATGTACTACAGAGCCCGAAAGCCCTGGTGAAAGGATTAGGAAGGGCCGCTGCGAAGCAGCGCCCGTCTATTCTCTCGACGTTCCACAAGGCAATGGGCTCATTCGCCGTCCAAGCTGCTAAAGCTAAGAGCGCTCCCCAGAATTGGGACGGCAGGGGTTCGACTACCAGAACTTGGAGGTTCATGGGTAGGTAGTTATAAGTGGGGTTATAAGCAAGGTAACTATACCTATAACCCCTATTAGAGGACTTATAACCCCACTTATAACTACCCATGAACCTCCAAGAAGTCGAGGGTAAAAGCGGAACCTGTAGTCAGAGGCTTGGTCCTCAGCATTGCTGGCATCGCAGATGTCCAAGCCACGGGTCCTGGGAAGCGGGGCAGCCGTAACCGCCTCAATTGCAGATGCAATCGCGCTCGGGGCCGTGAGGGTCACTCGGACTGCCTCAGGAATGGTCTCCAACGTGACAAACAGGAATGCCATGTCTCACTTTCGGAGCTCTCCCCCGGTCTCGCCGGGCAGGATCTGCTGTTCCTGCTCTGGCGGCAGATCGCCCAGCCCGCAGAAAGGAGCTGGCAGGATGCAGCATCACCGTTGAGCACTAACAAGTGCCTTGTTTCGTGGCCTGAAGTGCTTTATAAGGCTGATTGATATGCTTATTGCTTTTGTATCGCTATTGTTGGTATGATTTTTATTAGTATTTGTACTCTTATCAATCTTGTTATGGTTGCTCCATCTTGTGTATTGACCATAATATCTTCTTCTTGTTGTTACTATGGCTATCGACATTGTTATTAACTTTCTTTTCTCATTATAAATATCATGTGATCATCATTGTTATCCTTACTGCTATTATTTTAAGGCTCATGCAACACCAATACGACCACAGCTCCTCACAGGGGCAGAGGAGGCGTCTTGGTCGAAGGTTTCGGGAAGGATGTATGGGCCTCTCCTTTCAGATATAGAGCCTCGGTGTTCAGGGTTTGCCTTTAAAGGGTTTAAGGGTTTAGGGTTTAGGGGTTCAGTAACTTACACGTCCCACGAGCTAGGCATTGAGAGTTGGGAAGGAGCGTATAAGCACATTCGTCATCAGGGTTTAGGTGTTGGGGACTACTGAAATCCAAACCGCTTACCCAGGGAGTATGGCCAGGCTTTATCTTGAACCCTACATGCTTTTTGTGGGCAACCGGGCTGATCAAGCAACTCATGAAAATGGCAACCATTTATCGCAATTATCATACGGAGCCCCGGAGTGGATGCCGCCCGCACTGTTCCACTCCTTCACGATGCGACCCGAAGTGCCCCATATCCGCGCATATCTTCGTGTGTTTACAAAGAGAACTATCCGGGCGTTGTTGCAATCAGCTCGCTTTTGATACGACTAGAAGTGCCACTCCCTTCGCATTAAAACCGACCATAGCTCATTAACCAAGCCACTGCATGACTTCCGGACGAATTTCTCGAACTGCGTTTTTCCATCCTGCACTGGGGGTGGTTTAGGCGCGCATTCGGGCCCTCGGAATACTGGGCAAAGGATTCGGGTGGCGGCGTCAAAGGCTTTATCGTCGAAAGCGCCGGGAGACTTGGTACTAAAGTCGGCCACAAGAAAGAACCATGCGAGTTATGGAGATTTGGGGAAAATCTGGCTGGGAAGGCTTCCTGTGAAGGTCTAACCGTTCGCAAAAAAACGACTTGCAGAGACTGGGCTGTAGCGCAAGACCCGTTTCCAGTTATTCAAGCCCCTAGAAGCCCTTAAACCCACCCCTAAGCGAGCTCTATTCCCATGGTTGAGGCCAGTTGAGGCCCCAATATGGAAGTTTCGGCTCCTAAATGTAGGTCCTACGGACCAAAGCTCTAAACCTCAACCACAGACCCTGAACCAACAACACTTGAAACCTAAAACCCGAAAACGCGAATAAGACAAACTCTCAAATGCAAACAGCACAAACACAACCCCTAAAGCCAACATCTAAAGCCTTGGACACTCAAACCACAACAAAAGAGCCAGTTCGGCATTTTAGGGCTCTTGTATATACACGAGTCTCTATGAATCTGTATGAGGGCTTTGTAACTGTTGTTCAGACTAAGGATCATATGTTTTGTTTTCAACCTGTCTGCTGATTCATCAGGACAGTTACACGCGATTGCTGGAGCTCTCCGGGGGACTTCTTAAGAGTATCGGGTTCCCTAGTCTGGGCCATTTTGGGCAGGGTTCCCGATTCTTGAAACCCCACTGTCTTTGTCAAGCCGAACTGATTGATGAGCCCCATTCTCTAAGGCCGTGCATACAAGGATCCCTACTGTGATCCTTAATAAGGAACGGGGATTTACTAACCAGGGGTCCACATCAGCTACAGTCTCACGTAAACGCGAATAGCCGATGTTGCTGATGCGACTGGTAGTGCTAGTAACTCATCGTTTAATGTCCAGGCCCCTACATTGATTACCCTAAACCCAAAGCCCTAACCATTAAACCTTAGACCTAAATCCTCAAACCCGAACCATGAAACCATACTAAACAGCGCAACTGTTGATGATATAAATCCTGCATTACCTGAAGGACCCTAGACGATGGGATTTGTGGTATATTCCTTATTATGGGTAATGCAGGGTTTATATCATCAACCGAAGCACTAAGTCGACCTGGTCGAGGAGGTCGGTAAACTTTACGCCTTGAAGATCCGTGGGTGTCGCCAAGACGCGTCTGAAGGGGCTTGATGTGGAGTTCTTGCAGGGTTTGGGGTTTCGCTGCAGGTTAGGTTTTTGTTGGGTTTTGGTAGGGTTTAGGGTTTAAGGGCTAGCGTTTTGTCAGAGCGGGTTTCCCTGCAGTTAGAGTTCCTTTCGAAGGAGTGATACCCCTATTCTAGGGTCTCCATCAAGGGTTCACGTTTTCCCCACAAACTCTCCGCAAGGTTTAGGGGTTTAGGGCTTTGTGGTGGGGGAGAGGGCTCGGGCCCGGGGTTTGGGATAAGGCCTTGCCGGTGCTGGTGCATCGTTTAGTAGAAGCCCAGTTGCTGGGTTGTCGACAGAAGGAGCCCGGGCCTCATATAAATGCATACAAGCTAATCGTAGTGTGTGTATATATATATATACATATGTATTGTCACACATAGGATCTCAACTATATTCCAAATGTATATATATATATACACACATACTTTATCTGTACAGCTTTGCTACATATCTAGATTGATAGATGTATCCAGGCCTCAAGCGAGTGTTATCCCCAACGATCTGGAAGTTCTCATCCAGCAGGACGTCCGCATCGCAAACGCTTCGCAAGACCTGCAATGGACACGAGCACAAGCCAGAGGCCTTATGTTGGGAGAACGCAGCCGCACTTGCTTGTTTGTGCATTTACTCCGTTTTGCAGATGGGAGTTTCCAAAAATTAGGGGTACCATGTTTTGGGGTCCTTTTGATAAGGCTCCTAATTCTGGGTACCATATTACGGTCCCCGATTTTCGGAAACTCCCAGATGGATAGACAGGCAGATCGGTAGCCCTTCGATCCTTACACCCTAACCCCCGAAAACCCCTAAAACGTGACACCCTCAAGCCCAAACCCATGATGCCCTAAAAGCCACCGCAGCCCTCGACTTCTACGATGCAAACCCTTGATTCATACACCCCCATCCTCCCGTAAAAAAGGGTTTATCATGGGTTCCTAATACAAAAAAAAGGTTTTGGGCTTAGGGTTTGACGTTCTCAGACAGGCCGGGTTGATTCATCAGGTGTCTAGGTTCCCCTGGACCGAAGTTCAGAAGCAACTAAGAAGGTGTAGACTTTCAGTTCTAGAGCGTAGAACATTATCCCGAACCCGAAACTTTGTATTCTTTCAGCTACTAAGAAATGGCGCGAACGGCCGCCGGGCGGCTCGCTGGAAGCCCTCCAAAGATAGATTCGCGTCGGCCGACTGGAATGAAGCCTTGATGCCTCGAAACTTTGGGGGCGTTTGGGATTAAGGTTTAAGGTTGCAAGGCTATGGATTGAAATGTATATGGGTGGTTGTCAGAACTATGGTCCCTTTCTGGGTACCCTAAATTTCAGGTGCCGTAGTATAGTAAGGACCCAAAAGGGACCATAATTTTGACAACCACATATGTATACCTTAAAACAGGGTTTCAACATTCTGGGTAAGGATGTTGCAGGTAATGCCCAGAACCGCCGGGAGGATCTAGCAAGCAGAAACCCTAACTATATTACCCAAGCATAATCGATAAGAAGCCCACAGGAAGCCCCTTCAGGGATGATGTTTTGGCTACTCCCAAGGGGTCTGGGTGATAAGATGTACACAAGAGCTTCGGGCTGCAAGGGAAACTCGTTTCGAATCATTAAGAGCTCTATCCCCACCATCGACAGCCCGTAGATACCTCCATATCGAGTAGTGGCAGCGGGACTCGTCCTGTAGAAGCGATGCCCGGCATAATCATAACATAGTACCCCGCACTCCAACATGACTGGTTCTACTTTGAGGCGCCGTTTTCATCCCTAAACCGTAAACAACACCCCCAAAAAACCTAATTTGTAGCGCCCGTTTTGATCCCGAACCCCAGTATAGAGCCGGATTGCCACATCCTCGTACAAGCAACGGCAAAATAGGGGCAGCAAATAATTCGAACAGGGTGTCTAGGGTTCTTTAGAGGAAGTGATGCTCAGTTTCGGGTCTTACGTGTGCTTGGAGGTTCATGGGCAATTATAAATGCGGTTGTAAGTAAGGTAACTATACTTACAGCCCTTATTAAGGGACTTATAACCCCATTCATAACTACCCATGAACCTTCAAGTAGGTTTTCCCTACTTGGCGCTGAGCCCTTCTTCCCGGACTTCCTTCTACAATCTCCCATATCCTCAACTCTGAACCGCTGAGCCCTTGTCACCCTATCCTACTCCACCCCTGAAGCCCTACCATGCACACCCAAAACCGAAGACAGCCTCGGATAGCAGTTTTAACAGTCTTAACCATTTGAGTGCGTCTTCGGAGCATATTCGACTGTGATTGTGTGAGGGACATTCAGGGTATATGACTAGTAACTATTCCGAGCCCTGCAGTAAACTTTGGCCAAGCCGCAAGTACGCGCCCACTCCTGGACCATAATTGCGACTCCGAATACCAAGGCCAGAATGACAGCCTGCTGAGTTCGAGCGCGCGGGATTTGCAGGCTTATCTGGACCGTATTGTGTCATACACCAAACCCACCAAACTGTAAGGAAAGGCCGGCCAGGTGCAGGTTGCGGTGAAGTCGCGGCAAGCAAGTGCCCTAAGCACCCAAGTTCGTTGACTTCGTATGCAGCTACAGATTGGAGCTTAGGCCTTAGCCACCGCCTTGCACAAAGCCTCAGGGAGGTCAGCACCCGTCTCCGGACGAAGCCAGTCAAAGTGGTTAGGGTCTTGAACCGCGGTGCAACTTTCTCTTTGGCACTCGCATTGAAGGCCTCGGGTGCCAGGTGCAGCGGGGCCGGAACCAGGTAAATGCCCGCCTCGTACGTCAGACGACAATGTCATGTAGCCCTCGAAATCCCCGCAACAAGGGGTCTCGTCCGAGTCTTTTCCGTTCCAGAAAGCCTCGTAAGCTTTTCTCTGCTTCCTCACGTGACTGCAGACCTCCGCCCTGACCCTGGCCGCTGCGAGCGCCGGCTCGTCCCAAAGCCATTCCAACTGCCTTGTGGAAAACAGTTGCCCGCCTCGACTTTCCGCAGGACGCAGCCAGGACTCGAAGTCATGCATCGTAGACATTGGTCTTACACCCTTGCCCTCCGGACCTAACCCCAAACGATTGATCTTATCATACCATTTTCATAAAATGTCATATATATTAATCTGAAACAATGATGTATTATCATAAGATTATCTCATCGCGAAACGACGACGCTTCGCTTGCGGTCGGGTGCGAGGTTGTGGAGCCCGAGGGAGTCTCATGAGGTCCAAACGTTACAAATACCCGAAGCGCGCCAACCAAAGACCATAAACACTACATGGACCCCAAAAAGTACGTAGAATAAACGCCTTTTCTTGGGGGTTGGGCCATTAACTTACTTGCTTTTGGGGTTTAGGTAAACCCTAAACCCCCCAAACCCTGAACGTTAATCCTAAAACCCTAAACACCGGAAGAGAGATCCGAATCTCAAGTCCGAAACCCACAAGGCCTGCTTTGCACCTGGTTACATCGCGCGCGCTTCTTGCCGGAAGCCATCAAAACGGAAGCCCGTAGGCACTAAACTGCACAAAACATCAACACCTAAACCCCAACCAGAGCTCCCAACTTCGAAATGAGGTGTTTTGAAATCCCACACCTTTAAACAAACACACGTTAACCCCTAAACCTCGCAGCGCAAACCCCTTAGCCGATGGCCTGACCGACGAGGAAGTGCCACGGAGGACCGGCTCGTGTCCCCTTTGGAGAGAAGTTCAGTGTACTCCGGGAAGCCAAAAAACCCTTTGTGGTTCTTTAAACCCCAAACTAAAGCCTGCAGCCGTTAAAAGAGGTTTATAAGTGGTATATGTGGTCGTTCCTCCAGTTTTGAAGGTCATATGGAGGTTGCAAAGCAGCACGGCATTTTAGTCTCCGGGCTGTTGTACGAAAATCTTGTACGCGAAACCCTCGACCCACATCCCTGCCTTTCCACATTCACCAAATGCTCAACACAACACCTCACACCTTCAAACATTTCAAAGGCATCCCATGAACTCCGAGCCACCCTGCAATCCTTGTCCCGCCAAGCCTTCACAACCTAAACTGCAAAGTTCTAAACCGTAATACAATAAACTAGATGCTAAGCACTCAAGTAAACCCTAAACTCGAATACCTAAACTGTAGATCTCTAGACCCTACATTTGTGCCCTGTAACAACCCAAGTTGCAAATCTAAAGCAGCTGGTGGCCCCCACAGGTTGTTTTTGTGTAGATGCCCCAACTATCTAGAGGCTATGTGTCTATAAGGTATAATATTACTTGCCCCCTTTACTAATCCTACCGAGCGCCTCCAGTCCGAAGTAGCATGCAACTTCCACCATGCAAACCTGAGCGGCGAAGCAAGGCGAGTAGGGCTTTTCTAGGTTTACAAGACTGGTGTAAGACTACCCTAAACCCCTAATTCCGGAAACCCCTCACCGTGATTTTGTGGCGCCTTGCGATGTTGTGGGGTTAAATATAGGGGCCTTAATCATTACAATAGGTTTTTGGGGCCCTATATGCTCTTATAGGTATTTGTTGAGATCCCCAGATTGTGGCTTCAGGGCTAGCTCTTACATCCATTTCTTAGCGGGGTGCCTGGACCCTGAACAACTTTTTGGGTTTAGGGTTTTCCTTTTAAGATTCGTACAAAAAAGAATTCTGGAACACCAAATAGGTAAGATATTTGGGGTTGGGTACTGCTCAATCATTCCTGAACTCGTATAGGGTCGGCATGGGGCTCCCTATTCCTTGCAGAGTATATGTCTGAACTGAAACAAGCGGTATGCTTGCCGTGGCGGCAAATCTGAAGTCAAGTACAAGAACCGGTGAAAACCGTGGAAGTCAGATTGGGTTTTCGGGGTCGGGGAGATTACACAAGAGTGTATTAAAGACAGCAGCAAGAAAGCACTTATGTTGTGGCACTCTTGAACTAGATTACCCTAGCAACTGCAAAGTTTCCCGGGCAAATTCCAAATTCTTGATTGTCTTGGGTGCCCCTGTAAGGAAGAGTAGAGTTTTGCAGCAGTCTCTGTTCATAGCCCCTTGCTAGTGCTGATGGTCGTACGTTCGCACCTGTACATGTGTTTGAAACCTTGAAGTGAAGTGCAGCAGTTTTATCAAGCTGTAGCATCACATAGCTCTGTAGCTAAAACCCGCCCCCCCCATCCACCCCCATGAAGCCCTAAACCCCAAAACGTAGAGCACGATACTCCATATACAAACGAATTCCTGGGCTTTGACGTAACCGGGGAGAAAAACCACGCAAACTCTCATTTCACAATTGTTCCTTTAAGGAACAGGTTCAAACAATGCAGTCAAGCATGCTACTCAGCTACTCCAGAATCCAGAATCTCAAAACCCCTATGTGATTATAGAGCACTTGAAGGAACCCTTACCATGGAGCCCTAGGAAAGCCCTTTAAAAGGAACCCTAGGAGCCAGGAGTCTCAGAACCAAGGAGCCGCAGTCTGACATGGGATCAGCACTGGCGGGTCGTGAATCAGCGCAGCAATACCTCTCTGCTTGCTGAAGCCTAATATGGGAGTTTCCGAAAACTAGGGGTAGCTTATTTGGGGGTCCTTGTAATAGTACCTAGTATAGGAGGAGTAATAATTAAAATAGGGTTCCTTGACACGCCTCTTATATATAGGTATATATAGTCGATACGCATATCTTATAAGGGTCTGTAAGGGGTCACTCTAGGGGCTACTATGAGCGTTCAGTGCGGGAGTTTCCGAGAAGAGGGGACCCTTTTATTGTATCCTAAATAGCAGGATCGTTATGATGGGGACCCCAAATAAGGTACCCCTAGTGTCGGAAACCCCGCCATATAGGAGGAGTAGTAATTAGAATAGGCTTCCTTGAAACGGCTCCTGTAAAGGGTCTATAAGGGTCACTCTAGGGGCTACTATGAGGGTTCAGTATAAGGGCCTTGATAATTGGAATATTCTTTGGGAGTATATTATACTATACGTATAAGTAAAGACCCCCCCAAAAAAAAACATAGTATACGTAATTATTACGGCCCCATATAAAAGCTCTAAAACCCAAAAGCCCAAATACACAAAAACCCCAACCACAAAACATCTTCAAGCCTCATAGCCGTTAATCCCGGAAGTCGATACCTCTGTGCTGCGTAGGGCTCTACAGCCTCAGCATCTTTCGAATTTTGGGTTTTGGGCTGTCAGGGCCAGGGCCTAGCACCCAACTAGCCTGAACGACGGCATGTTTCAAGATGTTAAGCATTAAGGGAAATGTTGCCCTGAACGGTAAACCCAACCGCAAACCAAAGACCTTGGCGATCCGAGCGAATTCTTCGCGCTCCCAAACTCTTACTTACGAGGTACCATGGATGGATTCTTCAGCACGGATCTTGCCAGTAAAGCCGTCCGTGGCTCTGTACACAGAACCCAGCAAAACTAGGTCCAACACGACTAGCACTAGCAGGAGTGCTGCCATTGCAGGGCACAGCCCAGTCACCAGTCATCCCAAGTGGATGGGCGGCGGTCGCAGACGTTGCAGACACGTGCACACAGCGGACATGGGGACCTCTCCAGTACAAGCCAATGGTCCCGCATCCAGTTGAGCCGTGCGGATAGTCTGTCCTGCTGCCGCAGTGGGCTTGCAGCTGGCAGGCAAGGACTCTGTCATCGTCCAAAACCTGCCGTTCTCCAGAGGATGTACAGGGTGTACCAACTCTGAACCGCGAGGGCGAAGTGTTGTTGGCATTGTACTCAGCGCAGGCCAAAACACCTAAAGAACCTTCGAAGTTACATTGCTCTAAAACAGCTCGAACTCACCTGAATTACTCCAAGCTCTGAACCTACATACAACTCTGAACCTCCAAAATCCACGACCCTAAGCCCAGGGGTTTAGGGTTCCCAACCTAGATCAACCGACGCCCACTAAGGCCGCATGGCAATCTCCTCGGCCTCGCGCCTGGAAGCTTGACTAGGGTTTATGTTAGAAGGGGCTCCCACCCTGTAATAGTGACTATAAGGATTAGATTAGGGTCCTATTATATTCCTATTATACCACTATTACAGGGTGGGGGCCCCTTCTAAGGTTTATGGTTTCGGGTATTTTGAGCTCCTTGTGCTCCTTGGGGGTACACGCAACAGCACCCTAACTTTGGGAACTCGCCACATGTAGACTAGCAGTGACCAACATGGTGAAACTCTAACGCTAGGGCCACAGAAGGAGTGCAAGGTTATTTGGACCCGGAGTTTGCAATTAGAACCAGGACCTCTCAAACGAGGCGAGCTGCAGAGACGGATGGCCGCCGAGAAAACTGAGAGAAAGTTGTAGTCCGCTTCCTAGCGGCTAGCGGAATATGGGGAATGCAAGAAAACCCCACTACTCAACGCTAACTGTAACTGTTCGAAAGCCCCCTTTAATATAGTGGCCTTAGTGATTGGAAAAGGGTTTTGGGGTCTTGGGGTATACTATACTATAACTATATAAGGAACCCCTCACAATACTACAGGAATTCATAAGCCCCCCCCCCCCCCCCCCCCCACCCCCCCATACTAAATCCTTAAAGTTATAGAGACCCTTGTAAACCTCTGTAAAGGAACCCTACTCTAATTACTAAGGTCCGTATATTATTCGAACTGCTATTCTCAGCCTCCAGCGGGGTTAAACTGACATACCCTAACCTATTCTTGTGTAGGGTCCCCCTATAGATTCCATATCAGGGCTTATCATCAGAACCTGCAAATTGGTAGGGTTTGGTCGTTTCACGTAGTCACCTCACATCGAACCTTTTCGTCAAAAAACATGAGGCAGCCTGGCACTTCATGATGTATGGCTGTGGAGTCTCGAAGGCAAAACCCAAACAGCATACACTGTGCCCGGCTACTTGGAGGTTCATGGCAAGCTATAAGTGGGGGTATAAGTCCGCTAAATATGAGCTATCAATATAGTTGCTTTACCTATAATCCCCACTTGTAACCACCCACGAACCTCCAAGTTTGGTTCCGAGATCACGATTTAGGGCTTCCGGTGATTTTGGGTTCAGTTCAGTCTTCGGTGTTCGCAGGTTGACGGCTAAAGGACGGGGCTATCCCTTTGTGGTTTCGGCATCTTACCGGAAAGCATTGTTAACGATTTCTTGGGCCGACAACCCTGAAGACGAAGTAGCATCGGCAAGAGCAACAACAAAGCAACAGCCGAGCAACAAAGAGGGTGCACACTTGCGCACGCACATGCACTTGCTCACATGGCCTCTGCGGTAAGTTTAGGGAGCCTTGCATTATAGGATTATTAAGGCCCCTATATTATAGTACCCCTTATAGTAACCCTTATAGACCCCTGAATACCCAACCTCTGCCAAGTGTGTGTTGATGATGAAGAAGGCATGGCCGACGTGTGAAATCAGCCTGCAGCTGACCGGCCGACCCCTGAGGCTCCGAAGCATAAGGCCTCACACCACCTCGCAGGATTTCGTAGTCGTAGTAGTCGTAGTGAGTAGTAGTAGTAGTAGTAGTAGTAGTAGTAGTAGTAGTAGTAGTAGTAGTAGTAGTAGTAGTAGTAGTAGTAGTAGTAGTAGTAGTAGTAGTAGTAGTAGTAGTAGTATAGGTAACGTTTAACTGTTTGGGGTACGAACCTCTAGATAATACCGAATGCTAACCGTTGACTCCCCGATACTGCACAAGTAAGTAACCGCCTTCCCCTGAGACTCCAAGATCACTCAAACAACTGCTTTCACCCTAAATCCTGAACCCCTGAACCCCAAACCTCTAAACCCTAAACCCTGCACCCTAAATCCTGAACCCCTGAACCCCAAACCTCTAAAGCCTAAGCCCTGCATCCTAAACCCTAAACCCTTAGGTCGGCGATTTGGCGGCTTCCTACACTCTGCGGCCCGAACTCCAGCTTCGAGCCTCCCCTCTGGATGCAAATCCCTCTTCAGCCCAACACGCAGGGTTTCCGAAAATAGGGGACCCTAATATAGTACCCTATTTAGTAGGATAATTTTTATAAGAACCCCCCAAATAAGGTAGCCGTAATTTTCGGAAACTCCCATATAACGGTCGGAAAAATATCGATAGGGCCTGCGACTTTCATTGATTCTGCTATATCCACACGTTGTTCTAGGATTCCTAACCTCTCTTGAAACGAATCCCTCAGCTACTGTAGGAGCCTGAACAAATAAGACTACCAGTCCTTAGGGCCCCTATTACGTTTTTATCTTGATACCTCCCAACACCCTTCGCGAAATTTTACGGCACCCTAGATTCTTCAACGATTCTTAGTTTTGGGCTTTTAGGTGCTGTGCAACATCATTTATCCTTAACCCTAAACCCACTGTAGTCTCAAGTTACTGCAGGCTTGCAGACCCCGGTCTGGGTTTAAAGCTTTCTTGACGCTCATGTGGGCCGTGAGCAGCTGTTGGGTTGGCAAGCTGTTTGCGTCAGGGCGTTTTGCGGGTTTAGGGCTTAAGGCTTATTCCACGGGTCCAAAGGACCCAATAATTAGGTACTCGGTTTTAGGATAGTAGTTATGTAGGTTAGGATTTTTGGGAGTATGTGATTATTAGGTACTTGGACCCTTGGGGTTAGAGACTTCAGGCTACTCGGAGGGGCTATGAAACCATGAGCTCTAATGTAGAGGCGTTTATGGTTAGAATATGGTTTCGGGGAATACTACTTTACTGGTAAAACAGAACCCTGAGGAATAGTTATTGCGAATTGTTTCGGGCCCATATAGTAGTCATTTCCATACCACGACGCCTCCTGCTCTGTTATTTACAATGCCCACCTGATCTTGAACATCAGAATCAAACCCTAAAGCACACAACGACATTGAAACGGGTCCGTGGGGTTCACAAACAGAACATATGTGGGGGCAGGGGGTTCAGGGTTCACGGTTTCCGGGTTTAGGGTGCACTTTACGGATGTATAAGGTCCACGGTTTTAGGGTCCACTTTCAGTTTGAAGCTTCCAGAGTTTCGGTTTTGCTTACCTTAAAATACAGAATCCTACTTTTTTGCAGGCTCTTTCTGTAACCCTAATATGAAATCTATATGGATCCTGCAAAAAGTAAGTTCTTTCTGTAAGCCTAGTATGGAATTTATAGGGCCCCTGCGAAAGGCAGGTTTTGGTTGGTCAAGGTAGGAAATACAGAACCCTACTTTTGTTGTAGGTTCTTTCTGTACCCCTAGTATGGAATCTATAAGGACCCTGCAGACAAGCAGGTTTTGGTAGGGGGCAGGGAAAGCCAGGTGACGTGATCAGTCGAAGCGCGCTGAAGGAGAGTTGCGATCTGGAAGCTGGAATTGCGGTTTCCGAAAACTACTGTTGATGATATGGGTGGTTGGTTGTCAAAATTAAGGTCCCTTCTTGGGTCCTCATATAGTACCGCACCTAATATTTAGGGTACCCAAAAAGGGACCATAATTTTGACAACCGCCCACATAAATCCTGCATTACCTGAAGGATCCTAGACTATGGGATTTATGGTATAGTCCTTGTTATGGGTAATGCAGGGTTTATATCATCAACAGTATGGGTGCCTTATTTTGGGGTCCTTGTAATGAGGATCCTACTCTCTGAAAGTTCTGGTGTTCTTGGGGCCTAGGGTTTATTTAGAGTTTTAATGAAAGCCAACAGGGAGCAACTATAGGGCCTTCATAGTAAGAATAGGGTTTCGGGGCCCATGATACTACAATTATGATAAGGAACCCCCAAAAAATTTGGAAATCATGTAGGCCTCTGAAGGCCCCCCCACCCTGTAATAGTGGTATAATAGGAATATAATAGGGCCCTAGTATAGTCCTTACTTATTATAATCACTATTACAGGGTGGGGGCGCCCCTACAGTAGAATTCCTTTTTTTCTGGCTCAGGATGAAGGGATTTAGGGCATAGGGTTTAGGCTTTAGGTTTTAGGGTCTAGTCTGGGGTCTACGCTTCAGGTAGGAACCTGATTAAGAAATCCTGGGTTTTTTAACCCCAAAATACTGGCATTCATATTCGGGATTTCGGTTTGAGTTCAGGGATTCGGAGCGACAGTTTCCTTTGCCCCTGTCACTTGAACGTGAAACTCTGAAATCTGGGAGTTTCCGAAAACAGGTGTACCTTTCTTGGTGTCCTTGCTAATAGTAAGGGTCCTACTATTTAGGGTACTATATTAGGCTCCCCTATTTTCGGAAACTCCCATTTGGGAGTCAAGCCAAATTACGGAGCTTACGGCAACGTCGTTCTTTCGGACACTTGTGGGAGAAGCAGAAGTGTTAGAGTTTATGATCTTAGGAGGTTCTTCACGTCAAACTGAGGCCTACACGCAAAATGAAGCAAGCATGAAGCTTTTTGGGGGTATATTCAACTGTTGCAAGTATTTTCGGAGATGTATTCGAAACCGTAAGGGGGCAGTATTCCATTTGTTCCGACCCCTATATCAGCGGTAACGCTGTCCAACCAAAGCTGTCCAGAAATCTGAAGGTTGCAATCTCAAGCACATGTTCCCACTTCTTCGACAGGGTCATGGAGTTGCCGGTAAATGAAAGCCTGTTCTGTAGCTTGTTGCAGGCACCACCGCCCGCCCCTAGCCCCAAACCCTAAGCCCCGTATCGTTTCATAAAACCTAAACCCTAAACCCCGTATCGTTTCATAAAACCTAAACCCTACAGCAAGAGCCTGACGCCCTTCCCTCACCTACTGCTCCGGTGCCTCGCCACCCACCACGAGCAGAGATACTGCATCAACACCACGAGAAACCTGAAGGAGCTCAGACTTTGAAGAGTTTAGGTCTACTCTTACCTTTGGTTAGTAAGGAATGGAGGAATGGGGCACCATTATAACTACTATTACTACCATTCCCTACTAACCAACGGTAAGTACTTGGAGGTTCATGTTTAGTTATAAGTGGGGTTGTAAGTCAGGTATTACGGGTTAGAAGTGGAGTTACCTTACTTATAACCACACTTCTAACTACCCATGAACCTCCAAGTAGGGCTTAGTGTTGTCGGGTTCGTCTTTGAGGGTTTGGGGGTTTCAGGTTTTGGTTCGGGTGGTCAGACCTTCGCGTTTGGGGCGCTTTCTCTGCATTCCTTCCGAGCTTACTGGCGCTGCGTAGGGCTGGTTGTCAGGTTCCTGCATTAGGGTTCAGTGTATAGGGTTCCAGATTTTGTGATGGAGTTTAGGAGTTGGGCAGCTGTTCTATGCTTGTTACTTGAAGGCTCATGGGACTTAGTAAGTAAGGTTATAAGTAGGGTTTAATTAGGATAACCCCACTTAGGGGACTTATAACCCCAATTATAACCTACTTACTAAGTCCCGTGATCCTCTAAGTAGGGCCTCATCTCCGGCATCCAATTCTGGCTTTCTTTGCTCTTGTTAAGGAGTTTAATTTAAGCTACCATAATAGGGATCTATAGTCTATAGTAGATAATATGGTTTTTTTGTATCATGGTAGATGAAACTACATCCTTTAACAAGAACCAAGCTTTCGGCAGGTATTGAGAGCATCTTGTGCAGATCGCATCCGACAGGCCCAACTTCATCAAGCCAACAATACATACCATGATCGGGGGGCCTGAATTAATAGGAACAGCATTCCGCCTGAGCTGGATACTGTATCGTGGATTGCTACCCGAGGCCCTCATCTTAGTTCATTTGTTCAGGCCCCGCTGTTGTGCTCCGACGCATTGCTCTGGCTTTTCATGCCCTCGCAGTACCGCTATTCTTCACACCTCCAAACCTTTCTGTGAAAAGCGGAGGATTCCACTCAACTCTCGGTCACAAAGCCCAAGGCAGCCGATCGCAGATCAAAGCAAAGCAAGCGGTGCAAAGCAGGACAATCAGAGATTAAAACCGTAAAGGTTGACGCTCAGGTAAGAGGCAAGTCCTACAACCCCCAGGTCGTAAGCGGCCTTTTCCTGGGACTCGCAACAGCGGTCCTTGAGCAGTCAAGCTGCGTAGTGAGACAAAGTTGGTCTGATTCCTAACCAGAAGGCAGAAGCACATGTACGCACGTCAGTGACAAATCACACCCCCCTCGACGCGAGCTCACGCGTGAGAAGAGCGGAGTTTAGGAGAGTCACATCCACTGATTGTGCACCGAGCCACACCTCTTCCGGTCAGCAAAGCTTGAAGCAATTAAGAACCATTAGATGTGGGTCGGTCTCTGCATCTGGATCATACCTATGTTTCACTTCTGTACAAACGCAGCCTTTTGTGATCGTCAGGCGCATAGCGAGTTGCCAAGTGATCGGTGGCAATCGGATGTTCCATCGGATCTATGCGGGTTTTACATATTAGACTCAATGCGCTCAGAGTGAGAACTCGGCAGCATCGAGTGTCCGTGAAAAGAGAGGGACACACGAGGAAAATACCATGGCTAGCCATTGTACCCCTGTGGGTCTTCTCAGCGCGGCGCAGGCAAGGAAGGCTGAGGAAGTAGCGGAAATTGTATCATAGCCGGGTTTCACCATCAGAATCCGCCTGACCCGAATGACGTGTGGAGCATGGGTCAGAAAGACTCAACCGGATTCACCTTGCAGTGACACAATGCATCGCCACGCAGGTCGACGGTCGTTACCTACGAGTCGTGGGGCTACGGGTACGGTCCTTGTTTCCTCGTCCGGAACCGCCCCTTCCTTTGTTTCCCTTATCACCCTTCCCTCGGCCTTTCTCCTGCTTTCCTTTTCCTTTCTCGGTTTTCCCTCTTCCTTTGCCCTTCGTCGGTTGCCTCGTGTCATCAGCTTCATCGATGAGGCCTGTCACGTTTGAGCCAGTTCGGGATTTGCCCTTGGCCGTTGTTTCTTTGGCCGGGCCCATCGTGCGAGATCGTGGCTCAGTCGAAGCGGAATCGGATGGAGCTGGAGGCGCGGGATCCGCAGTCTCAGCAACACGCTGTTGTGTACGCCCTCGCGCCTCTGCACTAGTAATCACCCGACCAGGAGTTGGCCGCACAATCGAAGGAGCCCATTTCTCGTCGCGGGCTGATTTCGAAGGTGGGTTCGAAGCGGTGCGAGTATTTGGTGCAGGGAACTTGGGGTTAATCCGTTCCTGCGTAGTAGCGGAAGTGCCTCCAGGCGAGGCAGCTCTTCCCGCTCCTGTTTCCTCGGCAGAGGGAGGAACTACGCCAGCCGCCTTCATATTGATAGGGTCATCGGGATTTGCATTCATCGAAATGATGACATTGGCGACTCTCTTCCTGACAACAGGCAGCGTGTTCGGTGCGTGATACATGCGAATAATATCTTCAATCGTCGGGTTGTCCAAATCAGGCTCCGGAACCCGGGTCTTCATTCGCAGTACCAAGGGCAGACCCATTTGATCGGAGTAGGGTGCCCTTCCTGAGACCATCAATGTCTCCCCTTCAGCGTGGGGAACATTGTAGCCCGATTGCCTCGACGTCTTCCGACTCGGTGGATTAGACGGAGGCGGCATCTCGCGAGGCGGAGGCGGGTTTGTCTCAGGAGCGACACCTCCGAGGTGCTCTCGCCCAGTGCGTTGTGACTTCGGGCCGGGTCGGATCGCCCGTTCGAGCTCAGTATCATCCTCGTCCTCGTCATCCGGAGGAACGGGGACGGCATGAGCTTCGGGGATCGACGCGTGCCGTTGCTCAGTGGCCTGCACTCTGCGCTGAGGCGCATCAGCACGTCGTCGTGCCCGCTGAGCTGCGACGTCGAACAGATCTTGAGGCTCTTCTAGTTCATCGGGTAGAGCCTCGAAGACATCTTCGTTCTTTTTCATAAGAACAGGGTCAGTTCTCTTAGTATCGGGGAGCTGATCCTTTACGCCTTCAACAAGATTGAAGAACGTCTTCTCGGTCGCGCGATCATCATCGAAACATTCCTTAATCTTGACAGAGTGATCGCGAATGAACTCCTTGAATTCCTTACGCTTCTCATCAGGCGTTTCGGGGGCATCAAGGAGTGCCGTATTCCCATCAGCAAAAATCGTGAATCGGGAATCGGTATGGTGCGGGATCAACTTCCGCCCCAAAGGGTCCAAATCACGCCAATTGATGGCTTGGACATCGGGTTCTTCTTCTTCCCCTTTTCCTTTCCCTTTGGGCTTTTCAGTAACCGCCGCAGTTCCTTCGATCTCCTCAGCTTCATCGTCAGAGATGTAACCAGGTTCACCTTTCATCGGAATGCCGTAGCACGTCGTAAGGGTAACCTTGGCAAGGAGCGCGGAAAGGCTTTCACTATCGACACGCATGTATCGCTGATACTTTTGCGTGTCCGTGATAGTGGCACGGAACTCATCCAACGTTCCAAACTCGGTGGAAAGTCGAATTTGCCTTCTCATCGCCAGATTGGCGTTCTGCAATGGCAGATGCGCAAGCCGAATTTTCTCGACCATGTCTGAGTCGACGGTATAATCGATTGTCCCTCCTGTGTAAAAGGGGGAGAGATAGCCGCGCGACAGGCAGACTCGGTATGCGCGCTGACAGTGGATCGACCATCGTGCATAGTAGCACAGCGGCTTCTCGCGGCATGTGGCGAAGACCGCGCCGAAGTGCTTGACTATCGTGGTTGCACAGGCGATCGACTGCGAGTTGAGGAAGTCTTCCACACCGCTCCGAGCTTCCTTGCCAGTGATACCGGCAACAAGCCTCTCAATGGAGATGTCCAATCGAATGGCGCCTTGAATCGTTCCGCGCACGCTCTTCTTGAACAATTCCACTTCTTTCGGCGATGTATCAGCTGCAGTGCATTTGATCGGTGGCACCCCGAAGAACGCGGTTTGCCTGTGGTCCTCAGCGATTGACCTAGAGACCGGGAAATTCCTCAGCTGCTTGATTGCAGGGTACTCGTGAAGTCGGAATTCTTTAAGCTCATTTCGCTCAATGAGCTCGTTGAGCCATTCGGCATGACTTCCATAGTACTCGACCTGAAATGGGTTTACAGGATCGGCGTAGAACATCCCATCAGGATAATGAATCGGCTTGGTGCAAGAGTGACACATGTGGAGACCCACCGGGAATGATGCTCCGCACATGGGGCAGTCGAAACTAGCAAGCGGCCACGTTTCTCGTTTGTGGTCTCCTCTCTTGGGGCCAGTGCCGAACTTTGGGCCCCCAACATATTTGAAGGCCGTGTTGAACACGAGGGATCCCGTGTCCATGAAGTATGCAATGGGCATACAGGCGAGAGGGATACTGTCTTTGATCGCATAATATCCCCTCGGGTGGAATACAATCGGATTGATTCCCGCCGCAATCATGTGCAAATCAATCGCAAACACGATCATGCGGTTGGATCCCATCCCTTCAGGGAGCATGGATTGTGATGACGCGGTGTTCGAAAGCGTCTCACGCCCCGGGTTCATTCGGACGTTCATGTACACCTCTTCCCACTCATTGTTGTTCCCAGATCCGGGAGCATACGGGAGCAGAGTGAGGAACAGCCGTCCTTTCGGAGGATTGAGCTTGCAATCGCTCATGTACCCGAAGAATTCGCGAATCGTTGCGCATCCCCATCCATACTGAGGATGGTATCGGGCCACATTTCTTTTCCTCTCGCCAGCGACGTAATGATCCTGAGCGAGCTGGATAAATGGCCCGTGCTGGCACTTGGTCAGCAGTCGGAATCGGTTGAAGTTATCAGGGCCGAAACCGTAGGTGGCTCGAATGCCGACAAATTGAGGACTTCCATCGTTGTCGATCGTCGAGTAGAAGAACTCAAACATTCGGTTGTTGTCCGTCCGAGCGATCTCCATAATGCATCGGGTAGTGATCTCGGTCGGTTCGCCTCGCTCATCCA